TCCATTTATTTAGTAGTTTTGTAATTTTTTTTTTACATTTTATGTAATTGACAGTTTTTATTTAACTTTTGGCAGCTCTGTTATCAAAATACTTAACAATCTGAAAAAAAAAAAAAGCCTTCCTTAGCTATATATTTCAGGTACATCTGTAGTAGTACTCCTCTAAAATGTAGTATAAATCCTCTTAATCTCTTCCAAACCAGAGACCAAATGTTCTGTTAATAAACTGTAGGATGCTGAACTCTATGAAATGTACTCACAGTTTAGTGACTTGTAACTTTGACAGAGTAGTTAGTTTCCAAACTAACTACTATCTACTAACTAAAGGTATTTCAGGGGTGGTATAACTAATATTTTGGACCATGCAATTCTTTTTATGAGGAACTCTTCGTGTACACTGTAGATTATTTAGCAGCATGCTTGGTCTTTATGAATTAATACATGTAGTACCACCTCTCTCCCAGTTGTGACAACCAAAAATGTCTCTCGATAATATCAAATGTCCCTTGGGGTCAAATGGAGTAGTAGAGAAGGAAAATTGTCTCCAGTTAAGAACCACTGGTTTAGTCATCACTAATGATTATTTTTTTTTATATACAAAATATAAAAAACATTGGAAATTTCCACGTTAGTCCCTGTCTTCTGAACAACTGACCAGGTTATAACTGTTCTTGTATTAACACATAACAGGATCAGAACATGCTCAGGGACAAAATAACTATGGGACATTCAAAGAAGTTAAAAATGTTCCCAAAGTTTAATATCTGGTACAAAAAGCTAAGATTTGGGCCAAGTGGGGCTAAAATAGCTTTTTTCTTCTTTAGAACATATTTTTCAGTAAATGTCAGAGTTTACTGAAATGTCAGAGTACTTCTCCTCCCTAAACCAAGTCACTTACTACTATTTGATTCTACTGTGGTCCAATGATATTACTTTAAAATCTCACACACAAAAAAAATTTTTATTTTACTATTAGCTATATCATATTTATTTATACATCTAATATTAGAAGGTTGCTACACTGTTGTTATATACTTAATATTTGATAACTTAAATGTCTAAAGAAAATATCTAAAATAAATTACATAAATATAGTCATACTTATTTAAAAGAAACGTGTACAATATTTATCATGCTAATACATTTTTAATAATGGCTGAAAATCAAATATAAAACACATATCCTATTTTTAAAAGGATATGCATTTTATAGACATAGATACTGATATAATCAACATTAAAAAATTAATTAAGAATTTAGGTGACAAGATCGTGTTTAGGCAATCTGTATTTTCCACTTTTCTATAGTGAGTTTCAAGCTCTGGTGGTATAGACCATACTGAGTTGCACTGCTAATCCAAAGGCTATGTCTCCCTGGTGATTTGAAATCTGTAGCAGTTGCAAGAAAGAAAAATGAACAATATCCTTCCACGCAATTTATAGCTCCCTGTAAATGTGCTGGAGGGTCAGCTAGGAGCCAGTTCCAAATGGACAGCAATGAGAGAGTGAACAAAGATTGTTGTTGTTATGTGCTGTCGAGTCGTTTGCGACTCATAGAGACCCTATGCATAAGAGCTCTGAACATTGCTCTATCCTGAGCCTCTGTCTCTGACACACCTACCCTCATTACCCCACTTATTGTGTCAATCCATCTCATCCAGGGTCTTCCTCTCCTGCACTGCCCCTCGACCCTTCCAAGCATGATATCCTTCTCCAAAAGACTGGCCCCTCCTGGCTCCTTGACCAAAGTACGTAAGATGGAGTCTCTAAATCCTTGCCTCCAAGGAGCAGCTTAGTTTTACCTTCTCCAGAATAGATTTGTTAGTTCTCTTGTTAGTCCACGCTATATTCAAAACTCTTCTCTAACACCACAACTCAAAGGCATCAATTCGTCTTCGGTCATCCTTGGTAACTGTCTAGTTCTCTGATACATAGCAAGTAATTGTAAAGAGCATGGCTTGGATCAGGTGTACCTTAGTCTTTAAACTGGCATCCTTGCTCATCAATACTCTGCAGACGTCCCTGAGATCAGATTTCCCTAATGCAATTTGTCCTTTAATTTTCTGACTTCTGGTGCCAAGAGTGTTGAACATAGAATACTCATACAAGAACTATTTTAAAATGCTCTAAAAACCAATTTATTTCCCATTGAGAGGGAGTTCTGGTTGCCAAGTGGTAAGACCACTGCCAACCAAAAGGGACATGGTTCAAATCCACGTGGCTGCTCCACAACAGAAAGACAGGCAATCACTTCCTATGAGATTTACAGTCTCTGAAAAGCAGCTGTAGGGTCGGCTGTAAGTCGGTGACTCTATGGCACCTAACAACAATATATCTGAATCAATTTAGCATCAGCATCCCTCCAAAACCAACTGGCATTATAAATGTCCTGTTCTGAGAATCAACAAGAAATTCTAGCCTCTCTTTCTCTGCATGAACTTTTTAACAGAACAAAACACTCAATGCTGATTCAAAGGCATCAAAAGGAACACAACCTTAAATAAGATAAGGCTCCATCCTCTGGAAACTCACAGCACAGGAGAGATAACAACAGTATATAACTTTTATTTACTGCCTTTGTAACTTGCTGCTCTTTTTCAAAATCAGAAGGAAAAGATGCTAATTACAGGCAAAGAAGTCATTGCCAATTACATGCAAAGAGAAATTAAGTTACCGATCATGTGCATAAGCACAGCTGAATGTCTTTCCAACACAAAACGTGATCCATTCAAATTTACAGATATTTTGTGGTTTTATATGTCTGTGTATGACTTCTGATTCAAATCAGGACACTCCAATTTTGTGGGTCAACACTGTCCCAAATTAACCTAGAGTTTCCCTTTTGCTTACTTGGCTCACAGCTGCTCTTAGCAGAGGTCAGATCTCTGGTGAGTTTCCAACTGCACTTACCCACTGTCGTCCTAGTACCTTCAACCTCATTATTTTTGCAATAAGACAAGTAGAGTTGATGTAATCGATTTCCTGAGATATGATCCTGCCATAGTCAATGACTGAATCTGAGAAGTTATTATGTTGTCTAGAATATACTTATAACTTTCACATTTGAAGCAAAGACTCTAGTTTTTATTTGTTGAGCATAATACAAGTTTTGAAAACAGTTACAACTAATCACTAATACCTATATAATAAACTAAATATCACTGCAATTGATTCACATGACAAAGCCATGAATTTCATAGAACTCTGGACCATCAAGTTTTCAAAGGCTATAATCTTTCAGAAGTCGATCACCTGGCCTTTCTTCCAAGGGGCCTCTTTTTTATTAGCTAATCACTTAACCATCCTGTTAGTGTTATTGTTGAGTGCAGTCTACTAGAACCCATCTGCACCATCCAAAAACTCAAGGCTATTAAGCCAAAGTCTAACTGGAGGCAACTGTATGGGACACTGCAGAACAGTCCCAAAGGTTTCCAAGGCCGTAAATCTTTGCAGAAGCAAACTGCTGCACCTTTCTCCCCAGGACCAGCTGGTGAGTTTGAAACACCATTCTCTTGTTTACCAGCAGAATGCTTGACAACTGTGCCACCAGGGCTCCTTCGTGTCATCCAAGGAACCCTTAAAAATTCACACCTGCTTGCAGTCTAACGTGTTAACACGATCAACATGGACTATTCATGTACAAAGGACAATTTAAAAAAGTTCACATCAATCACTACTCCATCTGTCTACCCAGAGTTCTGAAAGATCCAAACCTAAAAGGAACAGCATTCATTTCTCCTACAGCCAAGGAAACAGAGAACTCTAACAAAGCTCAAAACACAGACACCAAAATAAGCTTTTATAGGACACTAAAATGTGCCAATGATGAATTAACTAATCAAATCATCACCAAAAATCTTATACAATAATACTCTTCTTAGTCTCCTTTTATAGTGGTGAAACTGGAGAATAAAGTTCACATAGCTAAGAGTGCAGAAGTGGACTTTAATCCAGATAGTTCAAGGCAAAATTCAAGTTACAGATTGCATTGTACTGATGCCCTGGACTTCTGCCTTCTGCAACAAAGGAGCAGCAAAGATACAATGAATAAAAAACCAGCCAACAACAACAAAATGCCATGGAAATCAAAATAACCAAGAAAAGGCCAAATGTGAAAGCCCAACTGTTTTAAAAAAAAATTAAAATAAAGGTAGCCAAGAAATAACTGAATGAATGAATGAATGAAATGCATGTGATTTATACTCACTTCTTGGCAAGGAAAATGATTTGGGATGTGGGAGAAGGGAGTGCTCAAGAGAAACAAGAGAGCCTACAATTTCACAGTGAAAATATGTTCTTCTAAGCAACAATGACACTGATAAAATTTTGTCTAGAATCACTTTACCATTCAAGTACAATGTATATATCCTTTCCTTTAACCAGCATACACGTCGTAGCCCCACCACAGCCAAAAGGATTCCTAAAAACTGCCAAAATATTACGCTTAGAAATCCCTGGACGTGGTTTTAGTATATCACGAGTTACTTTTCTTTCCTTGGTCCTAGCTCCCAGGCTGCGATTTAAAGCTCTGCGAATATGTGAAAGTGTCAGAGGATTAAACTCGTGTAAATATTGGAGAGCGTGAACACATGTGAAACACCGTCAATGTAGCCATCCGAGGACGCCACTGGCTGCCACAATGCACTAGGGCTTCCATAGGACTCAGGGGAACAAGGTCATGTTCAACTTTGAGTTGTACGTAACTAACTGCTGCAGAAACTTCTGTATGTAATGTAAACCGAGAGAGGATTCTGAGGGTAAACTTAGAAACGGAGAGGCGATGACACTTTCCGAGATAACCAGGTGCCCTAGTCCAAGGACACTCCAGTTTCAGAAGGAGAGTTCAAGGGCTCAGTGAGTGCAAGCGCCTTGCCCCGAGTCACACAGCAGTTAGTAGTTAGCTTTAGCAGCTCTCCAGGTCCTTCCGCTGCAGAGCAAGGCAGCGGGGACGCGAGGCGGCGGCGCGCGGAAGCCGGCCCGGACTGCGGGGTGGCGGGTTACCTGTGTCGGCCCCCGCCCCGGCGTGCAGCAGTCGGACCTCTGGCTGCAGCCCGCCGCCGCCCGGCCGGCCCCGCACCACCTGCCGCAGGAGCAGCCGCACGCGCCGCGCGGCCGGGCCGCTGTGGCCGCCGGGGGCGCCGAGAAGCAGGAGCCGGGACTGCATGGAGCCGGGGGCGCTGCAAGGCAAGGCGAGGGGTCCAGGGCCGAGCCGGGTCCCGGCGAGCAGCGTGAGGCGGCGCGGCGAGGGGGACAGGAAGCGGCACACCGGCAAGTCCGCCGGAAACTCCTTCCCCCGGAGCGGCCGGTTCAGCCGCCTCGACGCAGCCGGGCAGGGCCCTCGGGGGCGGAGTGAGCCGGCCCCGCCGCCGGGGCGGACCTCGTACCAGGAGTCCATGGACCTGTCCCGCCGCCAGCGCGGACTTTGGGGCCGGGGCCCGTGGACCTGCCCCGCCGCCAGGGTGGACTTTGGGCCCGTGGACTTGCCCCACCGCCAGAGCCGACTGCAGCGGCCCTTAAGCCTAGCGAGGTGCCAACTCACACTCGCTCTGACTCGAGCCTCTTCTCCTTCCTCACGATTTCAGCTCCGAGGCTCCACCCTGTTCATCTGGACTCTGTCCATCTGTCTCTGGTAGTCCCTCTGTGGGCCTTCACCTCATCAAAAAAATGCTTCCTTTTTAGGAGTTTTTGTCCATGTGACCCTGTTGTTGTTAAGTGCCATCAAGTCTTGTAGGACTCATAGCGACCCTATGGACAACAGACCTGAATTCTGCTCTATATGTGTGCCATAGTCACAGTGTCAGTCCATCTCCCCTTGTGGGCTTTCCTGTCTTTCGCTGACCCTCCACCATGATGCACCTCTCCAAGGAAAATGTGTGAGATGAAGCCTCACCATCCTTACCTCCAGTTAGCACTCTGGTTGTACTTTATCCAAGACTTAACTGTTATTTTGGCAGTCCATGAGATAATTAAGCCTTCTTCTCCAACATCACAACTCAAAAGATATGAATTCTTCTCTCATTGTTATTTGTGGTCCAGCCAGGGGAAAATGGCACAATGGTGGTGGTGGTGGTTGTTAGGTGCCATCAAGTTGACTACAGCTCAGCCACGCAATGAACAATAGATCTGAATCTTGCCCTGCTCTGTGCCATCTTTATCATTTCTGATATACGCCAACCAATTGTTACAATCATTGTGTCAATCCATCTTGTTCAGGGACTTCCTCTTGTCCACTGCTCTTCCACCTTTCCAAGCTTAATATCCTTTTCCAAAGCTTAATAACTCTTCCTAACATGCCCAAAGTATGTACAATAAAGTTTTACCACCTTTGCCACTTAAGCGCACCCTGATTGCACTTTCTCCAAAACATATGTTTGTTCTTTTGGTTGTCCATGGGATATTCATTTATCTTCTCCAGTACTACAACTCAAAGGCATCAATTCTTCTGTCATCTTTAGTCATTGTCTAACTTTTAGATGCATAGGAAGTCATTGAAAAGGCCATGCTTGGGATAAGGTGCACCTTATTGTTTATATCCTTGCCCTTCAGTACTTGGAGCTGTCCTTGACAGAAGGTTGTCCCAATGTGATGCCTTTTGATTTCTTGATTGCTGGTACCAAGGATTGTGGACCCAAGCAAGGTTAAATCATTGAAAACTTCAGTCTTTTCTCCATCTATCATGATGCTGCCTATTGGTTCAGTAGTGAGGTCTTTCCTTGATGTTGAGGTGTAATCCGTATCAAAGACAGTAGTCGTTAATTTTCTACATCAAGTGCTTCAAGTCTTGACTTTGAGCAAGTAAAATTGTGTTATCTGCATAATGCAGGTTGATGATGGGTCTTCCTCCAATACTTATGCCACATTCCTCTTCATAAAGTCCAACTTTTTGAATTATTTGTTCAGCATATAAAGTGAATGCTGTTGTAAAGTGAATAGGTTTCGAAAAAGAATACAGCCCTGATGCACACTTCTTTATTTTAAACCATGCAGTGTTTCCTTACTCTGTTCCTACAGCAGATTCTTGGTGTAGATATAGGTTTCACATAAGCATAATTAAGTGGTCTGGGATTCCCATTCTTTTCAACATTGTCATTGTTGTTGTGTGCCATCAAGTGGCTTGAGACTCATAGTGACCCTATGTACAAGAGCCCTAAACACCGTTCTATCCTGTGCCAACCTCACCATCTCAAACACACTCATTCCCACCACTCCACTCACAGAATCGATCCATCTCAGCAAAGGTCTTCCTCTCCTGCACCATCCCTCCAGTCTCCCAAACATGATGTCCCTCTTCAAGGACCAGTCCCTCCTTACAACGTGCCCAAAGTATGTCAGAATCCTTGACTCCAAAGAGTATTCTGGCTTCACCCTCTCCAGGACAAACCTGTTTGTTCTCCTAGCAGTCCATGGTATTCCACACTCTTCTCCAGCACCACAGCTCAAAAGCGTCAATTCTGTGCTGTTGAGTCATTTGTGTCTGACTCATAGCAACCTTGTGGAAAACAGCTCTGAACTCTGCTCTATTCTGAGCCAACCTTATCGTCTCTGACTTACCTATCCCCTCATATTACCTATATTACCTCAGTCACTGAGTCAATCAAGGGTCTTCCTCTCTTGCATTGTGCCTCCACTTTCCCAATATCCTATCAATTTAAAAGGTGAGAAATCTATCTGAAATCTATTCTAGTAATTGAAGGGGGGGAATACTGCTTGCAATACTTAAGAAGGATGTACAAAGACCCAGTCTTCATGAAATTAGAGAGATTAAGACAAGAAAATAACTAGTTAAAAAAAAAGAGAAGGATAGAGTAGCATGTAAGGCTTCCAGATCTTAATAATCTACCAGTTCAAAACATCTAATAATCTAATAAGCATAAAATATCTTAAAATGACATTTTCAAGAACTGCTGAATGTGCAGGCTGAATTTAGAAGAGGTCGTGGTACTAGGGATATTATAGCTAATGTCAGATGGATCTTGGCAGAAAGCGAAGAATACCAGAAGAATGTCTATCTGTGCTTCATTGACTATGCAAAGGCTTTTGACTGTGTGGATCACAACAAGCTGTGGCTGACTCTGAGAAGAATGGAAATCCCAGAACATTTGATTGTGCTAATGCAAAACCTATACTTGGACCAAGAGGCAGTTGTCAGAACAGAGCAAGGAGACCCTACATGGTTCAAAATCAAGAAAGGGGTTCGTCAGGGATGTATTCTGTCTCCATACCTTTTCAATCTGTATGCAGAACAGATCATCTGAGACACTGGGATATACAAAGAAGAATGTGGCATCAGGATTGGTGGAAGAATCATCAACAACCTGCGTTATGCAAATAACACAGCCCTGCTTGCTAAAACTGAGGAGGACCTGAAGCGCTTGCTGTAGAAGATCAAGGACTGCAGCCTCAAATATGGACTGAAGCTCAACATCAAGAAAACAAAGATTCTCACCACTGGGCAAATTGGCAGCATCAGTATGGATGGTGAAGAGATTGAGATATTTAACAGTTTTAGTTTACTTGGCTCCACATCAACACTCTTGGTAACAGAAGCCAGGAAATCAGGAGACGAATTGCATTGGGAAAGTCAGCTGTGAGGGACCTCTCAAGAGTACTGAAGAACAACGACGTCAGACTTGAGACTAAGGTGCTCCTGATCAAGGCTATAGTCTTCGCAGTTATGTGCTATGCATCAGAGAGTTGGACAGTGACTAGGGTTGATAGAAAGAGAACTGATGCCTTTGAGCTATGGTGTTGGAGAAGAGTGTTGAATATACCATGGACTGCTAGGAGAACAAACAGGTTTGTCCTGGAGAGGGTGAAGCCAGACTACTCCTTGGAGTCAAGGATTCTGAAGCTTCATCTGACATACTTTGGGCATGTTACAAGGAGGGACTGGTCCTTGGAGAGGGACATCATGTTTGGCAGAGTGGAGGGGCGGCAAAGAAGAGGAAGACCTTCGATGAGATGGATCGATTCTGCAACTAGAGTGGTGTGTTTGAGTGTGTTAAGTGTGTTTGAGATGGCTAGGTTGGCACAGGATAGAACAGCCTTTAGAGCTCTTGTACACAGGGTCACTATGAGTCACAAGCGACTCGATGGCACATAACAACAACATGTAACAAAAAGAAAATTAGTATATAAACTTATAAAAAATGGAAAAAATTCTCTAAGATCAGGAATGAAGAAGAAGAAAGTGTGAAATGTTAAGAAATCCAAGTTGCTATATGCATTGGGGCCACCTGTTATCTTCAGCTCAACAGGTCAACTCATTGCCAACTACGAGATGAACCTGACTCATAGTTGCCCCTCCAGTGAGTTTTCAGAAGTTGTAAATCATATAGAGAAGGAGATTTTCCATCTTCCTCCCACATAGTGACTGGTGGCTTCGAACCACCTGCCTTTGGGTTGACAGTGCAACTCTTTACCCATTAGGCTCCTTTCTTTCATCATTGTTGTGTGCCATCGAGTTGCCTGTGACTCATAGCAACCCTATATACAGCAGCCCCAAACCCTGCTCTGTCCTGTGCCAAACTCACTGTCTCTGACAGACCTACCCCATTATTCCAGTCAGTGAATCAATCCACCTCATGGAGGGTCTTCCTCTCCTGCACCATCCGTCCCTCAACTCTCCCAACCATGACGTTCTTCTCCAAGGACTGGTCCCCCCTTGCAACATGTCCAAAACATGTCAGTCAAAACTTCAGAATCCTTGCCTCCAAGGAGCAACCTGGTATAACCTTCTCCAGGATGAACCTGTTCCTTTTCTTAGCAGTCCATGGTATATTCAATACTCTTCTCCAGCACCACAGCTCAAAGGTATCAATTCTCCTTCTATCCTCCCTAGTGATTGTCCAGCTCTCTGATGCATAGCAAGTGATTGCATGGCCTGTAACAGACACACCTCAGTCTCCAGAGTGACACCATTGCGTTTCAGTACTAACAAAAGACTTTACCACCACAATACATCTTTTAATTTCCTGGCTGCTGGTGCCAAGAGTGTTGATGCTACAGCCAAACAAACAAAAGCTGTGAACAATCTCAGTCTCTTCACCATCCATCCTGATGCTTCCAATTGGCCCAGTGGTGAGTGTCTTCTTGATATTGAGCCTCGATCCATATTGAAGGCTGCAGTCCTTGACCTTCTGCAGCAAGTGCTTCAGGTCCTCC